AGCATTACAATTAATCTTATAGGTACCAACAGGAGGAGGTTGCCAAGTACTCAACGCCCTCCTACAAGTAGCACAAGCATAACTTTCAACTCATGAATAAGCTATTTACAAGACCCCAAATCATTCAAAATTATGACTAAATTTATAAATAAAATAAAATAAAACTCATACAACCAACGGTCAGATAAAAGCTAGTTACAAAAATATGAGGTGAAAAAGTAAATAAGGCACTGAAACGCTATCCGGAATATTAATCCCCATAGATAATCCAAAACACAATACTTCTTGACTCTTACACACATTCAAGAAAATAGTAATACTGATCAGACTTCTCTCACAAATATTTGATGTTTTTTCCTCGTTGGGTTATTCTCTCAATATAGGAAGAGTTCTATGGCACCCAGAGTAAATATGGAAGTAATACATACACTAAATAAGAAAATGATGTTTAAAACATTGAATTGTAGGACTATGGGACATGGTACTATATCCTAAACTTTAGTGATTAAATTCTAGGTCCTAATTCTATAAATCTTGTACATTAAGATCAATTAAATTAGAAACAATAGTCAATGGTTATAATTGGTCGACAAATACACACAATAAATTAAACTACATGCATCATCTTACGATTTATGACGTGATCATCTCTCTTGAATTTGAATCTCCAGGCTCCTATGGGGGCCGCTAACAAACACCACCCACATCTCTCTTGAATTTGAATCTCCAGGCTCCTATGGGGGCCGCTGCCGGCGCTCCTCCGGCGACCGGTGGTGGCCCTCCACCCTCCTGATTTCCTCCTTCCTCTCCTCCGCTTCCTGAAACGGGGCCCCCGAAAGGATTCCGATCATAGTCGTTCAGCGCGTCAAGTTGACACTATAGCATTACAATTAATCTTATAGGTACCAACAGGAGGAGGTTGCCAAGTACTCAACGCCCTCCTACAAGTAGCACAAGCATAACTTTCAACTCATGAATAAGCTATTTACAAGACCCCAAATCATTCAAAATTATGACTAAATTTATAAATAAAATAAAATAAAACTCATACAACCAACGGTCAGATAAAAGCTAGTTACAAAAATATGAGGTGAAAAAATAAATAAGGCACTGAAACGCTCTCCGGAATATTAATCCCCATAGATAATCCAAAACACAATACTTCTTGACTCTTACACACATTCAAGAAAATAGTAATACTTATCAGACTTCTCTCACAAATATTTGATGTTTTTTCCTCGTTGGGTTATTCTCTCAACATATGAAGAGTTCTATGGCACCCAGAGTAAATATGGAAGTAATACATACACTAAATAAGAAAATGATGTTTAAAACATTGAATTGTAGGACTATGGGACATGGTACTATATCCTAAACTTTAGTGATTAAATTCTAGGTCCTAATTCTATAAATCTTGTACATTAAGATCAATTAAATTAGAAACAATAGTCAATGGTTATAATTGGTCGACAAATACACACAATAAATTAAACTACATGCATCATCTTACGATTTATGACGTGATCATCTCTCTTGAATTTGAATCTCCAGGCTCCTATGGGGGCCGCTAACAAACACCACCCACATCTCTCTTGAATTTGAATCTCCAGGCTCCTATGGGGGCCGCTGCCGGCGCTCCTCCGGCGACCGGTGGTGGCCCTCCACCCTCCTGATTTCCTCCTTCCTCTCCTCCGCTTCCTGTCTTTTCTTCTCCGTGTTTCAAGTTCTTTTTTCAGTTTGTTCTTTTTCCTTTGTCATCTTCGCTCTTTCTGGCCATGCATTGGCTTTTTCCCCTCATGTGTGTTCTGTTCTTCCTCCCCTTGGTGGGATGCCAGTGCTCCCCCTCCTGTGGGTTGATTTTGTTGCCCTCTGGTCTGGCTTCCAGATCTGGAGATGTTTGTCCGGTTCAAGATTCGAAGGAGGCCGGATCTGTCACAGATTCGGCTTGTTTTCTCCTTTCCTTTGCCCTCGTCTACCTCCTTGCTTTGCCTTGCAGATCTTGGCGATTCGGAGATGCAGCCCTTGGCGTGGACTCGGTTGGGAAAGCTTGAAGACTAAAGTATTCAATCCTCTGGATCCACTACCAGCTGTTCGGTTGTTCCGAGTTTCTCTTGGATTTTGGTCGGCGGAAAGCTTCGGCAATCGACTCGGGTGCTGTGTCAAGTGCGGCGTTGTTTCTCGGTTACAGCAATAGAGGAGCTTCAGAGGGTGGCACCAGCAGCTAGGGTTTGGGAGGCTCAAACTTGTTGTGGCCTCTTGCCTGGACCCTATTGGGTTTCCGAGTCTGTTTGTTGTAGGCCTTGTTGTTTGAGCTTTTTCATTTCCTGTTGTTTGGAATGCTTGTACTTTTCCGGTTGGGCTTGGCCCATTCGATATCTTAATGAACACCCCTTTTCAAAAAAAAAAAAAAAATCTTACGATTTATGACTTATGGTTTACAGAATTATGACCTAGCATTCACTCAATTTATTTTTATTGAAGGGAGGCAACAGTGCCAAAATACAAACCCAACAGGGTAGCCCTTACACAGAGCCTAACTCAAATAGATAACCAATTGCAAAAGCAAAATAAACTGAAAAAGCTTGACATGGAACTAAACCCATTATAACGTCCATTACCCTTGTTTACTTCAGGATCTATGTTCCGCACTTCACACATTGGTTGTTGAGGTTTCAATCTGCATCGCCTCTTTGGATGTTTCATTTTCAGTGACCAATAGTCCTCCTAACCTTCACTCATTAAGAGTTACAATATAATAACATGTCTCAAAATTCAATTAATTCGAAACGTAAAAAACATTTTCTCACTAAACGTATGCGATACCCTAGATTTATAATTCAGTATTGAGTGCTTAACATAGCAAAAGGATGGATCCTATGAATGAGAGTCATTGAATAGGCAGGTAGAGCTGGTCAGCAGGTATAATCGTATATATGTATGTATAGCTAGCTAGCTAGAGCTACTACTGACTTAGACATTCCTTTTCCTTGGCAGGGGTAGCTAGCTAGGGATCCAAGAGGATGGAGGAAGGAAGAAAGAAAGAATGGATGGATGGATCAGTCAATTAATATTCCTCCATTTTGTCTGTTAGGTCTTCCTTCTTTCTTCCCATCTATATTCGAATTTATTAAAGACAGCAATCAATGAGAAAGTTAAGAGAGCAAAAAATCATAAATGTGGGGGAGTAGTGGGTACGTATTGCATTGCATTGTATTGCCCAAAAAACCCTACACAAAAAGTGATACTTCACTTTCACCAAAACACTTCACACGAGGCATTGAGCCCATTTGCAAACCCTCCCTTCGTCTTCTTCTTCTTCATCATCATCACCATCCATTAATGCAGAGAACTTTAAGACCAGATCGTAAGAGTTAAACAAGACAAACCAAAGAATCCCATTAATTAAGCCTTCCACTTCCATGAAACAAAACCCTAACAAACAACTCGACAACACCCACCAATAATCCTCTCTTTCTCCTTCCTTATCCTCAGGTGGTTAAATGCTTATGTGATCACTCGACGATACATATATGGGTAAAACAGTAGCAAAATGATCGTCAGATTAAAAGTACGTAGTAATAAAATACTAGGTGACAATTGACAATAAAAGTCATTTTTGTTTGATTTCGCGATGGTTCATTTTAAGTCCGAGTGTCAAATAAGCTCGTCAAGCCTAACGACTATCATTACATGCACCTGCTCGACCCAACCCATCCAACTCGACCCCAGCTCGAATAAAATAAATGCCAACTGGGTCTGATTGGGTGTGCATCGACACCACTGCACGCTTATTGCACGATTTCGATAACTTAATTTGACATCCTGACTTGGTCGAACCAAACATTCTAAGATTGGAACAGAATAGGAGGAAGTGATTTGATTGGTTGCAAATAACTTGGGTTTAGTTAAGATTTTTACATAACTTTTAACAAGTTTTTGACTGTATTGCCATTTGACCGCCTGATCCTCCCAAGTCCCATGTATGCTCAGACTCACTACTATCCATCGTCCTAATCGTTCACTATTTATCATGGCAGAGGAGAAAGAGAAAAAGAACTTCCATGGCGAGTCATAAATGACCTCTCTGATCTCCTCTTTTTGCTGTTGGACTGTATTCCTCCTCCTCCATTCATTCATTCATTGATTCCCACGATTCATCTATTCATGTCATGCCACATCAATAATTAATGAATGGGGTTCATAAAGCTAGCTAGCAAACTAGCATCTCAATCGTCTCTCTCTCTCTCTCTCTCTCTCTCTCTCTCTCTCTCTCTCTCTCTCTCTCTCTCTGTCTTGCTAGCTAGGGTTTGTTCTCGAATTCTCTTTTGGTCGATCAGATAAATATTAATTGGGTCCTCACCCAATCATCATTTTCTGAGACAGGGACTCAGATGTCAAATCTCCTATATGGAACTACTGCTTATAATTAGCTTCAACTATAGCATGCACATGTTCAGCAATCAAGGCCAGGGCACAAATTTGTATGTGTTAATTTAGTTGTTGTCACTTCTGATTCATCAAAATTGAAAGCTTTTTGGATCCATAGGAAAACAAACAATCATATTTGTGGTACAAACTTCCATTAACTATATGTTGTTGGATATCTTTAGCATATCGATTAAAAAACTTATGTAAATCAATTACAATTATATATTAACTCATGTTTAGTAAGAATAGTGGGTACATAGATGACCCATATGACAAATATGTTAAGATTCAACTTTTTTTTATTTTATTTTTTCCACTTGACCCTTTAACCTCAAAAAAGTCCTTTCTAGTTTTTACAATCAATTCATCTGATGCTTAGTATGGTCTAAAATTGATTGATGTGTGTAGGCTTTTTGGAATGCATTTTCAACATCCATGACATGCTAGGTACAAAGGATGTGCTTGCTAGTTAAGTATGACTGGAGTAAAATTATATCAGTAGCGAATTCGAAAGGATTTGGTAATATGAACGATGAACTAATGAATCAGATGATTCATTGTGAATTCGTCAACCGCTAATTTCTTATTTCTTAGTAAAAAAAAAAGGCATGATTGTTGTATCAATACAGAGACTAAAGATGCCATTTACCCCTATATAAGGAGTCCCTGCATTGATAAGTCATGAGCTAATAATAACTCAAATACTACTTAAACAATGTCATAGACTTAAACTCCAAAAGAGTTCTCATCTCAGAGTGTCATAGTTTTCTAAATGTAGATACTCAAGTAAAACTACTTAAACAATGTAAATTGATGGATAGATAGATAGATATAAGCCACACAAGGATTAAAAAAAAAAAAAAAAACAGTTCAATCACGCCAACTCTCACCTCACCCAAAAAGTAAATATTCTTCTTAATTCCACAGAATTACTGCTTGTCCTTACTTTCAGAACCCCTTCTTCATTTAGAAAATTTCCTCAACATGTAAAATTATATTAATACCATATCATATATCATCAACCTCCAAATGCGCCTCCCTTCAATATCTTCCTTGTTTACACGTTCTTCACTTGTCATCCTCACCATTAACACTGCCAGAAATAGAAATTGGGAATCAAATACATAGCAGCCTGCAAACCCTCATTGCAGATTTCGGAAATAGTATGGTTTATCTTAACACAATATATGATGTAGCCTGCAGCCATGAAAACTGGAAATATATATAGATAGAAAGAACTAATAGCTAGCAAGCTGGTACATTGATAATTACGTACTTAAGTATTCATAAACAATCCTTCCCACGTACTTGCATACATATATATTCATGATTATTTCAACATAAAAAACCTTAAACTTTAAACTCAAAACTGTAATCAAGCTAGCAACTGGAAAACCAGACTAATAATCAAGGGAAGTTGATTGATGTCACTCACCAAGATAGAAATTTTCGATCAAACCAGCAAGAGAGGAAAGAAATTTGGAAATAAAAAGGAAGCTTTTTCCATCATCGATTAACAGGATGGCCTCATCAGCAAAGCACCCCTATCCCCGCCGGCCTCCAATTCCTCTTCTTCCTCCTCCTCCTCCTCTCCCTCCTCCTGCTGCTGCTGATGATGATGATGGCGGCTCGCCATATGCCGCCGCTGCCTCTCCTGCTGGTGGGTCTGAAAAAACACCTGCGCCTGAGCCTGATCATTGTTCTGGCTCTGGTTGTGCTGCTGAATGTAATTATCAGTCTGCATCTCGTAATTATTCCCCAACCCTAATCCAGACGATGTCACCACGCCTCCATTCCCAATCTGATTAAACCCACCGCCGGCAGCGGGCACCATACCTCCATACCCTCCGTTAAACCTCGCCACCATCTCATGCTGCTGATTATGATGGTGGTAAGGATAGTTCTGGACGGCCGCGGTCGCGGTGGGGACCACGTGGCCGTCCATCATCTGTGCTGCCTGCTGCAGCACGAACGAGTGGTGGTGATGGTTGTTGGCCGCTGCCGCCGCGGCGGAACCGACCATGTGTTGGTGTTGGTGGTGGTGGTGGTGGAGGGAGAGCATAGCGTGGTGGTGGGGCCCGATGTAGTTGGCGAGCTCCTTTCTGGCGGCGTCGAGGTCGTGGTGGAGCTGCTTCAGCCGGTGCTGGAGGATGGAGATGAGCCCCACGCAGCCGTACACCGGGTCGCGGAGGCGCTCCTCGGCCTCGTAGGCGAGGGAGTTGACGGCGTCCTCACGCTGCGCCGCCGTGAGCTCCTTGAGCAGCTTGGCGACGTTGCTGGCGCCGAACACCTTGTGGACGCTGGCGAACTTCTGGGGCTGGTCGGGAGGGAAGTAAGGTGCGAAGATGCACTCCTGGGTGCACTTCCGGCGGAGGAACTTGCACGCCGCGCACGGGGAGTTCGACGAGGCTCCGCCGGCTGCGCCGCCTGCGGAGGAGGAGCCCGACCCCGACGACATGGACATGGACATCGACATCGACATTTTCTTTCTTCTTCGTTGTTGGTGTGCCTGTCTCAAGTGGTGGTTAGTGAATCAAAAAAAAAAAAAAAAACTTGCACCCGCATAATAAATATATTTATTTGATTTTTGGGATATGATATGATATTATAATTATACGAAATATGGGATTTGAGGGAGGGGGTAGAGATATGGTAGGCTGAAAATGAGGGGGAAATGGAAAGATTGATTTTTTTGGATCGGGGAGGGTGGGTTTGTTGGGAAGGGGAAGCTTCGTACGTGCGGGTGGTGGAGGGAAGGAGGGATTTCAAGAATCAAGAGGGCACTCCTAAAATCCATGAATCTAAAAAATAAAAAAACTCAGAAGAAAGGGTGATTTGGAATTATTATTTAATCATATTATGCTGTGAAAAAGAGGGACATAGAAGTGAGTCATGAGGAGAAGACACAAGCTTCAAACGCAAGCAAAGGAGTGGAGATTTGGTATTTGGGGGACTGGAGCTGAATGGAGGAGAAGAAGAAGAAAGTACGAACCCCAACCCATATATATTTTTGTTTTTTAGTTTCTCCAAAAAACCCAACTCAGGAATTTTTTTTTAACAAAAGAAGAAGAAAAAAAAAAGAATCAGATGGGACGAAACTGGAAACTGGGATACCAGAGACCAGATATGGAAAATCCCCCAATCTGTCTTCTCTATCACAATCACAAGGTGGAGGAAATGGTAAGTCAAAAGAGAAGGAGAGAAAGAAAACACCCGCCGATTTGGCAAAGAAAAACGTAATAAAGAATATCGATCTCCTTTCCAACCCAAATCCAATAGAGAAACCCTAGCTACCAAGGAAAATGAAGAAGAAGAAGAAACAGCGGCTGGAAATAGAAACTCAAAGCCTGGGGGGGTAAAGTTTGGTTATATTTACCTAGCTTTAGCTTGTTGGTGTCGTTATTCTTTTGGGCTGGGAGGCTCCCGGCTTGGGCTCCTGAAGAAACGGTGGCGCCCGGAATTGTAGTGAGATAGATAGATACCTTTCTTCTTCTTCTTTCTTTCTCTCTCTCTCTCTCTCTTTCTGAGTAGTACTGAAGAAGAAGAAGAAGAAGGAGAAAGAAGTGTGGCTTTTATTTTATATATGCGCACGCGAGCCTTAGAGACGACCCCGGAGCTGCAAAAACGCTGGCTGTGAAAATGGGAGGACGAGACCAAGGTTTAAAGCTTCTTTACTTTTTTTTTTTTTTTTTTCTTCCTTTCCCTGCAGCTTTGGTGAAAGGGAAAAAGTGGAGGCCACAGCTAGGTTAAGGAGTAATTAAAAAAAAAAGAAAGAAGCTAACCTATAACCTAACTCTCTGGATCGGATCCCAACGGAAAGTATGAATTTTTTTTTTATATAAAAATGTTGACTGATATGGAAAAATAAGTATTAGAAAAAAATATGAAAGATTTTGGTTCAATAATAGCTATAGAGGGTGATGAATGAGTTGGACGATGAATCAAAAAGTGTTGACCATGGAATTCACCGTCTTCTCTCTTCATATTGGTTGGGGGATCCAAGCGCAAGTTAGTTATCCCAAGAATAGACTTTTTCTTGATTTCCTTCTAGCTACAAACGAGGGGGGAATTGAAACAACAATTGAACTAAACTCGATAAGGTCGTCATGTATATAATTAAGTGAGAAACAAATCAAATAGTCCTTCATGGTAATTCAGTCAAACAGTAAGTTAAATTTCATCGAATTTGCAATTACATGACTGAGTTGTTCTATTTTCGTCTTTCTTTCTTCATAAAAAAAACATGAATATCGTCTTTGATATTGAAATATAACGGGAGAAAAAATACTTCATCAAGAAGCGCAAAAATGTCATCTCACTCAACATACTAAAAGCTTCTCATATATCTTTAGGTTGGCTTCCATGTATCTCACTCACTCACGCAAAACCCAATCAAACACCATAAAAAAAGGAACCCGCTCAAACTTATATTCTCTAATTTACTCATAAATATGCTTGGAATTTACTCTTACAACGAGAAAGAGTTCGGTTTGGAAAAAAATAAAAAACAAATCTCTCACCCAATCTTAAATGTATGTGGGCATCGGGCCGGGCCGTCCACGAGCTTGCACGGTACGGCACGGTTAAAGCCCAGCATAGCACTGACACGAAATATATGGGCCACGCCGGCACGAGCACGAATTCTTTATGGGCCGGGCCTAAATTTCACGGGCACGGCACGGTATGTAAATGGGCCATGGCGGGCCTAATATTTTCAAAACCTTATTGGGTATAAGAACAGACATAGAACAAAATGAATTTCAAATATTACAAATATAAGTACAAAAATAATTATTTATTGTTGTTAGAAGTGATCATGAAGATATATACGTAATTACTACCATAAAAAAATGGATGAAGAATTAAACAAAGTAACTTCATACTCGTTATACTTCCAATTTCCTTTGTAGTTCCGTTTCTCAAACATTCTCGGTTAATACTTTCATTCTCCGTCCAATTTTCTCCTTCTTTTTCATTCCCTCTTTTATTTTCTTCCTTTTCGTTAAACACAAACATGTGCATGACACGAGCATGAATAGGCACGACACGATTCAAACCGTGTCCGGGCCAGGCCTAGCAAAAATAACAAATGGGCTTGCACGGCACGACACGAAAGCTGACGGGCCGTGCCAAGTACGACACGAAATAAATGGGTCCGAAGCGTGCTGGCCCAAAAACGACTCAGCTCCAATGTACAATCTTAAACCTTGTTCAAACGGGATAAATACAAATAAATTGAGACGTTGCGTTGAGTCAAATAAGATGGGTTGGGTTTCGGTTTTATTGTACAGCCTTACAGTTTCAGTAGCCAAGATGATGAAATTAATTAAAGCTGGGAGAGGGAGGGATGAAAGTGCTAATTATTTTTTTCCTCATAATGTACTCTCCAAATTAGTACTAGAGACGGAGCTGTGGGAATTTTGGTCAAAACTACTGTTCCATTAGCTGGCTGCTACTCACTGATGAACCTATATATGTTTTCATTCTCTTTGTTGCTTTCGTTTTAACAAGCAACATTTTAGAACAAGAAATAAAAAAAAAGTTTTGGTTGTTTTAACAGTAAAAATATTTGTAAACTGTTTTTTTCTATATGGATGAACAATATTTTGGCCCTCAATTTAGAAAAACTTACCCATGAATTCAGCGGCGGAACCACTTGAGGCCAAGGTAGGTCGTTTGCGGCCCCACAAATTTAGCAATTTTTTTATAATGTAATTGAATTGAATACAAAATCTCCATGTTATTGTAAACTAATTTACAAAAAAAAAAACCAGTGTTGTGCTAATATAAGTTGTCATTGCAAGTGTTGAAAGATGACTTGCTGTAATGATTAAAGAAAAAAGTGAAAGAAACATTTCACAATCAGATGAGTGATGAAATCATGAATTTTTTTTTTTTTTGTGATGTATCTTAACATCACTCATCACTCATGATTCGCATGATGTATTTACGTTAGAATTTCTTCAAAATATTGATAACACATTCCGAAACTTACATAAAATATTTTTCACCTTAGACATACCTTATAAATGAATTTATGACTCCATCTCTACGTGAACTATAGAGTTAATAACGTTTCCAGGCCGCAGATAATAAAAAAAAAAAAAACACAGCCCTAAGTTGTTGTTGGCCATCATTCATTCACTATACAAAAGCGAGTACGTGGTAAGTATGGAGGGGAGTGGGGTCGGAGGGAACTGAGTGATGTGATGGGAGAGAATAAATAATGGTGGAAGAACGGAAGCAGACGTCGCAGCAGACAGAGAGAGAGAGAGAGACTGTACGTATTTAGAGAGAGAAAGATAAAGAGAGAGAGCAGAAGAAGAAGAAGAAGAAGAAGAAAGAGGGTAGCGGTCCACTCCTGATACTACTATTCTGAGCAATGCAAATGCTAATATGAATATCCCCTTTCTTCTTTCTTTCATCCGTTCGTCCATTCATTCAACCACTTTTAATTCTCATTCTGGAGTTCCCTCTTTGTCCCCTTGTTCTCTGTTCCCACTTCCCAACCCTCCCCCACTCCAAATTCATATCTTCCCTCTTTCTCCCTATTAGTAGTATGCACATCGCAAAGTTGTTAACTCGGTCGAACCCGTGCTGGTCCGATCGAGTAAACGCACTAAAGGGTTAATGATCTAGTTGGTTTAGTCTGGTACTAGTTTGACATGTAATAAAAATATCTAATATTACTTCAAAATAATAGTTCGTAAATGAATACACCATAAGGTGAAAACATCTGATTAACGTACTTCAATTCGACATATAATGTTGATATTCAACCATAAGCTAAGTCACATGTGCATGATAAGGAAGGTTGTTAACCCAGATCATACCATCAACCTGCTAAGCTACTGGAATTTGGGTTAACTGATTGATTCGGGATCGACTTAGTTAAACGATCTATGCACACTTAAAAAGAACAAGATATATATTATAGCATTTTGGTATTTTAGGGATGAAAATAAATTGCATACTAAAAGGTACCATTTTGGAATTTGACAATGGATAAAAGACACCATATAAAGGCAAAATCCCAATTTTGCCAAAGGCCCAATCGACCGAACCCTTCTCCTCCTCTTTTTAAAGGCGTCCTACTCCTCTACGTGACTGGATAGGATACTAACATTTTATGTGTTAGTTATAAGAAAATGGTTAAATATCATACATTTTTCTCTCTCTCTATTACATGATTGATTCGGAGTTGACAACCATGCTCATATGACATCTCTCTTCATCTCGTGCCTACTAGCTTATAACCCGACCCGTTGGCTGGAATGTTTGTATTTGAGTATTTATATTTTATGTTATGTTTAATTTTATTAATTTTTTTAATTTTATTGTCAATTCTTCAATCGAAATAATACATAAAGAATAAATATATATGTTGAATATTTGAAGAAATACCATCATCATTTAAGTATATAAAATATAAAAATGTATCATTAATCCCATTTCATAATGATAATTAAGCCCCGTTAAAATGCTATTGGTTAATTGATTGTCAAAAGAGATTGAATATAAAAGCCCACTGGAATTCGCACACAACCCATAGATAATTGGAAACTAAAATCTCGTAATCCTACATAAAGGATTCAATGCTCTACTTTTAGGAACAACATGGCACTAATTAAGAAGAAATTCAGAGTTGTTGATTCAAGTCAACCTTGTAGGAGTACCCCACCAAAGATCACTAAAGTCTCTTCCAAAATCCAATTTTGTGCAATGAGGACCAACTGCTTTATCATTACACACCTGAGCACCCTTATACGAAACATGAGTCCACACACAGTAAGTGAGAGTTATCGATATCACATGAATCAAATGTCCTAAATCAACTAGTTCGCACAATCAACCGACATAACAAGGAGACAGATAGGAAAAATACTTCAGCATCCTTCATAGTGCTACTACTACCTCCCTAGGTTGCATAGTGCTATAAAGGCTGTCAATTCAAAGCATACTGAGCAGGCAATTGCAGGGAACACGTACTTGGAGCCCTCAAATTTCAAAAAAATTGGATAGTGGACAAAGCTCCAAGCACACACATACAACCAAACATTCACACGCATATATAATCGAACATCCCCCACACACTTAAGCACGACATTGTCCTCAATGGAGGAAAGATAAGGAGGGTAGAACGAAGTTACCAGATCAAATGTGAATGATGGTGGACGGGGTAGGCGGTGCATTCCTGGAGGAGAGAGTAGTCGGAACTCAAACACCACACAAAATCTCACAAAGGTTGAGTTATTGACTCTAAAATCATAGAACAAAACTGACTCAACCGAGAAGAAATAGGGAAAGAAATGCAAACCGACTGGTTGGGTTGCCTCCCAACAAGAGCTTCTTTCATGTCGTGAGCCGGACGATGGCTCCTAAGTTTTGGTCCACCCCAGAACCTCTTTGAAGTTGAGGTTCTCATTGACGAGGTGGAGTCTCAAGTCACGAGCATGTGATATGACAGGTGATGAAAGCTCGTGCACTTGATGCAAATGATGTCTCCACCCTCGAGACCTCTTCTTCGTTTCTTCTCTTGTCTCATTGCCCCAAACAA